CAATTGAAGAGACACTAGGTGAAAATCTTATGTGTCACTCAATAAGGATTGTAAGGAACATATAACTTAAATTAACCAATAAGAAACATTTCAATTAAAACTATATGCAATGGTAGAAATCTCTACATATTTTTATTAATTTTATAACATAAGCCCATTAATACATATTTTACAAATCCTAAATGTAATACTTAGATTTACTATATAACCTTTTTTATATATATTAAAAAACTTTTTATTATTATATTTGTAACAATATTATTTATTGTGTATATATTTATTTAGATTAATATGATATATACAAATATTTTAATTATGATAGTGTATCATATGTATAAATATATAGARAAATTTCAAAAAATACCACTTTTTAAGTGCCACTTTACAAAAATTTAGTTGTGTCATTAATTTCTATTATAAGAGATTTCTATTATAATTTAGTTGTGTCATTAATTTCTATGGTAGAAAGCAAAGTATAACCAATCAAAAATAAACAAGTGTGATATGGTATTATTTGAGAGATTTTTGCCATGAGTATCTCACTCTCTCTCTTCCTTTTGTTTACTTTTATTATTATTTTATACTCAATTGGAGATGCTCTAACGGGTTTCCACCGGAATTTACTTTTTTTGAAACTGAAAAATTTGAAGTCCAAAAAATCCGAATGGAATAATCATATATACACCTCTAGTTTTCGATTCACAATTTAGAAACTAATTAACAAAATTAATTTGAGCAGAAAATTCAAATTTTTTTCCTATTGTAAGAAACTTGAAAATGAATATATTTTAGTTGTCCAAATTAGTTGGGCTTACAAAATGTGTAAACCTCTTTAATTTTCTAAGAAAACATGTCCACTTATAGAAAAATAAAACTATTCTAATACTAGTTGGGCTTTAAAAGTAGATGAGTAAAATTTGTAAAAGCTCATACTTGATCAATTTGAAAAAGCACACTAAAACTTTATTATTGCATTACTATAACTCATTGTAAATTTGTAACTATTCTAATTTGTAAATTTTGTATCCAGGATTTATGTAATTGTCTTTTTATTATTTAATAAAATCTAAAACTAGACAAAGTGTAACGTAAGTTTAAATATTTTTATTTTTAAAATCATTTTATATTTAATACCTAAAAAATTATGAGATCTTGGTTGTTTTGTTGTGGCCAATGGAAAAAAGAAAGCGAACTAATTAAAGTTGATAGCCGTTAAGTCCATTGCATGTCGAGACGTGTAAAAGAAGACAGACATGAGCAAAATCGAAACGCTTATACTTATTAAGCATATCTCTAGGTCGGTCACTCAACGGCTACATATGTCTTCTTTACTTTCACCATAAATAAGCACCAAGAGATTGCAAA